GAAGATATATCATATGGCTCTCAATGAAATATACTGCCAAATATTTACTTTCTTGGCTCTCTGATTCAAAAAGGTTGCCGACCCCTGCTCTAACCATCGAGCCAGGTATAGTATTTCCGGCAATGCTATCTGCCTAAGACTACTAGCCGCTACGGCTGCTGTCAGGACCTAGGAAATGAGACTCAAGGCAGAGCGGAACAAGTGAGTTTCGGTAGCGGTCCGTGAACGTTCATCAACGAGTGTAAGTACTGTTTGACGACATGGTAATGGTAGCCACGGCTAGGACTCAATCTGCGACACGATAAAGCCGAGTTTTAAACATCTGGATGCAGTGAATAGTAGGATCTTTCAGAAAAATAGCAAATTTACTGCACCAAGTTATCAAAGATTGCAAGCTTACGGAAAAAAAACGAACATGCTACTTACCGTTTTAGCAACCGGTAGACGAATTCACCACCATGATTGTTGACAATAACGGTGATCTTCTCAGGACTGCAAGCAGAGCAAAAACGAGCAAACGATAAAATGTCATTGGAGTCGGCCTTTCGGAGAAACAAAGGTAATCAGGGCAGCAGCGCTAAAATTTTAGATGTAACAGCAAGTGCTTCTAACGCATACAAACCGAACTAGTGTGAAAAATACACCAAACAGGAAATAAGGCAATATGGTTACTGCTTTGTTGGTTTTTGCCAGTCTAATGGCAATATTCGAGTCCGACTTCATCCTGTGTTAGAGCTTCGCAAGAAATATAAGTCTGTTGTTAGAAAGGAAGACAGAAAACAGATGGGATGCATAGTTTTGCAACCGTTAGCGCTGGTAGACAACAATGCAGTGCTTACAGCCTGCAAAAACATCCGTCCATGGGAAATCTGCAGTCTTAATTTAGGAGTGGATCTGGAGCAGCCCGTGGGTACGCCATGCTGACACGTGTCTGCCAGAGATGAGCTCGGCTTATTTAGACTGGCGCAGCTTGACACAGCTGCGAGGGGTCCGGCACATCAGTGGGTCCCCCAGCTTTCCCTGTCTGCTTTTTTGGTTGATATGCCGGTTTTGAAAGTTCAGCCTTCTAATCTCCTGAGAAAATAATTTCTGTTCGCGGTATATATCAGTATATTTAAG